TATCTCTATTAATCACAAATCCCTCTTTTAATTTATTGAAATAAAAAGTTGTATTCAAGGCAACAGATGTCTCGTATTTTTAACCACAATAATCCCTGTTTATGGCAAAAGCTATTTCACAATAGGATAAATAAGTCAAAGGTTTTATAGAGTAAACGATATTCAGCACATTCAACAGTTTTGAGATGTGTTCTGCCATTTCTGCGAAAATTAATAATTTAAATTAATATGTTCAAAATAATATTAGTATGATTTTAAATCTTAAAATAAAAATAATTCTGGTGGAAAACCTACAACCTCTGATAGAAATTGACATTTTGTGGAAAAATGACCTACTTTGATTTAAATTGACCTAGAAGAGGAAAAAACATAGAAAGTAGAAAACAATAATATAAAACCAGGTAAAATTATGTAAAGGATTTCAAAGTGATAATAGAAAAAACAGTACCAATTGAGTAGTTCAAAGTTTAGCTAAAATGTCAAAGGCAGTGATCAGATCCTTTGGGATAAAGAATGTATTCTTTTACCTGAAATAAATAGAATCAAAGCTAAATGGAGAATGGGGGCCTGGGGTCTGTGTGTGTACAGGAAAATGTGAAATGAGAGCAGGATAACCTTGGCTACAGTAAGCAGTAAAATCTGAAATTCCTAATAAAATATTAATATCAAAACTCAGTCTGATATCAGCCAAAATATTTATATTGGAATATATCGTCCTGCCTCTAAATCTTCAACATCAGAAAAACATTTAGAAACACTGCTTCTGTTCACTTTCGTTTAAAGTTTATGTAACAAAAAATAGGTGAATTGTTCTCATATCTGATATTAATTATTATTAAATATCACTTAATCAAGACTTTTCTGTCATTCCATACTAAACAGTAATAGAAGTATGTCTGATTAATTCTAAAATGGTATTAGGTCAATGTCGGTATCATCAATCCACAAAGCTGTATTATCCTATATTATTATCGGAAATCAAAATGTTATATCAAAATAGACTTAATTTTTTTTTTCATTTACAGTTTTTGCCTCCGTCATCCGTTATCATTGCCAGAGTTTGACCAGTCCACTTTGACCGACAGCCAATCATTGGAAATAAAGGCCTGCAAAGGATACTCTGCACCCATCCTTCATATCGGTAAGGTGGGAGATCCTTAGTCAAAGAGCTATGACATCATCCGTCTACCAAATGGCCTTCAAAGATGGCAGCCCCTTAAATTGGACGCAACACCTCTGACCACAAACACACCAGAAGGTCAGCAGAATTATGGCAGCCATCCAGCAGGTAAACCTTGGACTTTAAGTCAAAAGAAAATTTAAGAAAGTATGTTTCTGAGGGAAAACTAAGGAAGGCAGGATAGCTATTCAGTTTTCCTGATTCAGAAAGAAGTTAATGGTTGATGTTGGTCAACTAAATGCAACATGGATGGGAAGCAAATCTCAAAAACAAAGCAGAGAAACTGAAATATTAATTCAGTGTTTCAGAGGACAGATACATTTTCACAGGAAATGATTGATTTTGTAAAAACATTTTAGCAGTCAAATTTCACAATTTTCTTTCCTTTCTATAGAATCATTCATTACAATTAGAACAATTTTGTAAAATAACTCATAGTTTCAGGCTTTCATCAGAGGGATGTAGATACTAATGTCTGGGGCAGGAAGGATCACTGAAGGAAGGTTAATTCATTATTCTATATGCTTTGATTTGGATAGAAAGTAGATAAAATACCAAAAGGTAACAAAGCTTTACCAACATTTCAGTGCTTTCTGAAAAGAGCTGCATGTCCATAGAGGAGTAAGCAATGGTAAAAATACCTTTTCAAATTATGTTTTTACATTATTCAGTATACATTGTAGAAATACAGTGAATGGTGCATGTTGTGTTCTATAATAGGGTGATGTTATTTTGAGTAACACTATAAAATATACACAGTAAATTCCACAATGTTAAATATGCAGTGTCAAAGTACATTGACTCTTTAAGAGTTATTGCAACAACAACTGGAGTAAGATATGCACTATGTTGAGAGTTAATTTTACACTAATTCAGGGTGGGACCAAATGCACTTGGATTAGTGTTAAAATCAACTCTTAAAGTATTACTTTATTACTGCAAAATTTACGGTGTAGAGCCCTTAATGCATTAATGCAGCAGATCACTATACATGAAACTGACCTTTAGAGCAGCTGAATGCAGATTGCATTGACTGACAGACACTGCTCATAAATAAACAATAAATTCTACACTTATCTGCAGCTCTTCAATGAAAGAGGTGAAACATACTAAAACATTTCCCTCCTCATTTCAATTTCATTATAACCAAACACAAAGAAAGGCAGATCTGAAGCAGCAGCTGATAACACTCTGTCACACCCATTCCTGACTCACTCAGAACTGCAACCTGAGGTGAAAGGCATCCTGGGAGGCTGTGACAGGTGCTTAAAGTCCATCAGCTGCTTTATGGCAGCTGGAGGGCGGATATCAACAGCAGCAATCTGCAGTTCATTGGAGAGATGACGCATTGGATGGGGATGAGGAGGTGACGGTTTGACAGAGTGGTTCTGATACAGCAGACTCTACTGTCTCTGTAGCTCATGCAGATGTCTCCTGCAGGCAAATTTCTACATAAACCAGGCCAGTTTGGTCTTTTTTATTCCATCATGTTGCTCCAACACTATAATGCACAAATCTCCCAGCTTATCCATCACTAATCCTTCTTTTCCTTACAAACATAAGTTCTCCTCTCCTTCCTCAAGGTCACACTGAAAAAGATGCTAGGGCTCAAAATCCAGCAGCAATAAAGATGATTATTGAATTAAGAACTGGCAGCAGAATAAAAGTCACAAACTCCAAGTCAGGGAGCCTTTATAGGGGGACCAGGGGAGTAAAAGCAATTATTTGGAGTATTGCTCACATTATTTCTACTACATGCAACAATTTTGCTACCTTGAGGTAGATTTTTGCAAAATAGTCTAGAAATGTTACAAGACTTAACACCTCAATCCATTAACCACTGAGAAGAAATCTATTATTGTTGATTCTTTTTTAGCTCAAATGAAACTATGTGTCCTTATTGCCAAATTCAAAGACCCAAAGACCTGTATATGCTATGAAGAACAATGATTTCTTTTTTTTTTTTGGTAGTAAAAAAGAAACTACAGGTTAAAGACATTTTGGAACTAAAAAGCTATGTTCAGTTTGGACAAACAGTTGAGTAGATCCTTACAGCTGCCTCTACAAACAGAAATAGTTCAAGAATGGGCCAAAATCTAAACAATAAATCCACAAAAGGTTTAAAAGTTTGCCCCGTACACCACAACACTCTTCATCTATTTATAGACACGGTTAAATCATTTTGGTTATAAATGGCTCTATATTAATTCTTTGTATTACTTGCGTGAATTATGCAGCAGTATTTGCATGATAAATAGTTCTTGTTACAAGTCCTAATATATGTTTGTATCATTAGTGGCAGAAGGTGCAGCTTTGTGTTTTTAAACTATAGCTCCAAATGAAATCTGCAAAATTAGGGTAAATCTGCCCATTGTCATGCATATTTAATTAGTAAGAGAGAAACTGTTACCATGGCTCATTTTCTCATCTTTAATTTGATTCATCTTAGCTCTTTTTTTTTAAAGATTGTGATATTTCCGTTTGCTGCTAAAATCTCCAGACCTTCAAAATGTTCTTACAGTAAGTGACCCAAAAAAAAGGAAAATGTTTAGTGTTTCTATCTTGAACGATTTTATATAAATGATAGTATTGAAAAGGCAGCATTAGCATGACCAAGTGTTTTTTGGTCTGTGGTTAAACAAAAAGGCAATCAAAATATCCTCTCTGCAGCTTCCTGTAAGTGAATTACTTTAGGTAGGAGAGTGGTGTCTAAGACAACATTAGACAACCTCTCTAACCACTGGCCTCCTAAAAACAAAACTTGAACGCTATGGTATCTAAGTCAAACTCAAAAGCACGATCTGGCCCTGATAGCTTGGGCTGAACCGTATATAAAGCAGAAGGAGCAGGTGGATCAGATGAATGATAATTAGCGAGCAGGGAGGAATGGGTAGGTTATTGAGATGATCAATTGGATCAGCTATCCGGGCAGATCATGACAGTACACCTTTAAAATAATAATCTATTTCAATTCTTATCTATCAAATTAAATAAGTGTTATTTTAGTAAAAGGCATATTGAATGTCTTGTGCAAGTAACTCAAGGTTTTAGCTTATAAACAATTCACTCTCTTATGCAGCTTATATAAGCAACATATTCAGTTTATCCTTGACTGTAGACATTTTATTAATACTTAAACTGTGCTCTCGCTGAACGTGTGAGAGACTGTGTGTCATGCAGTATTAATCTTTTTAACTAATTCCAAGTTTTGCCAGTTATTGAAGCTTGTATGAGGATGTTGGTTTGCCTTTTTTTCACCATAACAGATTAAAACATGGTAAGTCTTGTTTTACAAGGACATTATGAGTGATTGTCAAAAAACTACCAAAAAGTTAGAAAAGATTTCTTACTTAACCTCTTTAATGATATGAAACAATGTAGGCAGGGCAAAATGAAACACCCAACATATATATTGAACAAAATTTGTAAGAGCAGAAGCAAATTATTCATCTTTTATAAAAGTTACCCCAGTAGAGGATTACACTCTTTGAACATTCAGACTGTTGTAATGATGCTTTTTATGCACAATCACCAAGTAAAAACGTTTAATTTGAGAAAAATATAATCTCTTATTTTCTTTAGTCCTGAAAATAAAGAAATTGGATAAATAATTTTAGAAACACCTAAAGTTGTTTTTTTGGATCAGCAAGCATCTGATCTAGTCAGTGTCAATGTTTTTATATTTCAGATGCTGCTTTCCAAATTATTCATCACACTCCTCAGATCTGATCCACACTACTTCAACACATCATCATTTTACATTATTGATTGTTAGGCAAAGAGCATTCTAAAAATCAGCCCAAAGTCCGATATCTCATACCAGAAATCTATGGAGGACAAGTCCATCCTCTATATAAAACATTTAGGCCGATAAGGTGAAGGAAGAGCATACCTGATTGTTTTGAGCATGCTTAGTCCCATCTCCACACAGCAGTGAGCATGGTCAGGTCTGGGCTCAGGTAGGCCAGATACACAGTAGTAACAGTCTCCCAAAATCTTTATTCGTAGACAGTGGTGCTCCTAGAAGGGGAAGAAAATTAGAGATGCGCTTGAAATTGATTATTTAAAAAAAATATATATGCCCACTGTCCCTTCAGTTACTTACATTAACCAAAACAGAAAGAGAGAGGAATGTACATAGAGAATATTAGATATGAAAACTTGGGACACAAACAACAATTGCATGGTGCTTGAACTCATCTCTCACCTTCTTCCTGGAGACAATTTTCATATCAGTTTCAATCAGCTACCAGAGATTAAAGGTATTATCCATGCTTTTATTTATCACATGCCTTTTACATCCCTCCACATTTTACTTGATCTACACCTAAACTGTTCAGCCTGAGATGATGTTTATGCTACTTCCAGTGCTAACAATACCATGTTCTACTGACATGAATATTACAAATCTATAAACTCAAAACCTGACTTAGTGGTATATGAGCAAGATTTTCTATATAACATCAACAGAGGAGCAGTTGAAGCAAGAGAATATTAAATTAATTAGCTTTAAATGGTAGAATGAAATGTGTTATCACTGCATTTAAAAGGTAATTCAATTTAATCCTGCTGAGAAGTTTGATTTTGAAAAAAAAAAAAAAATTATGATTTACTTTAAATATTTAAAATTTTACCTCTTTCATCCCATCCCTAATAAGGTAGTTTAAATAATAGGAAACTTACGTTGAAAATATACATTTAAGAAGATTAAAAGTTTTTACTATAAAATGATAGGATTATAAATGCAAAATATCTAGAATAATTGAAATAAGTTAAAGAAAACATTTAGGAGGAAGTGTAAACTAAAAATGTTCTAACTTCTGATTATAATTTGCTGTTCTCCTAATCTGTTTTTAAAAAGATTGTTTCTGCACTGCATTTGCTGTCTCTCTTAATTAAAAAAATAAAGAAATAAAGATATGAGCTATTAATAGCAATCTACACCCCTTTAAAAAAAATCCTAGAAAAAATTGGAGTTCAAACATAAGTGCATAAAGAGGCAGAAGATGTTGCTCTTACGTGTGCAAGACGGTCGAAACGTGCAAAGAGTTCATTCAACATTCGTACTAGCTCCTGAGCAGAGAGCGTCGTGGAAAGGTTTGTGAAGCCTTTAACATCTGCGAAAAGAATGCTGAATAAAATATAGAAATGTCACTTTCAGATCCAGGTTAAATAGAAAGTACTGATTAAACTCTTTCAGTTTCATATGTCAAAAAGGTAGTCAGTAATTCTTTATAAGCGTGTCAAAGCGCTGTGTCTGTATGGTTGGTTATGGGATTATCAGCGGAATTTAATCTCAATAAATTAAAAAAATAAAGGTGTATATAAAAGGTAACACAGAACTCATCATCCTTCTGATTGAATGCGAGACATAGACTTTTTTTGTGCAGAAATGACCTGTTAGGATTTGATCAGAAAGAGGAGAAACATTTACATGTTTGGACTGATCTTGGATTAAAAGCGGAAGTTGCTCACCTGACATTCTCATAGCGGTGGATGTAAATTCTGTGGAACTGATGCTGGAGGTGTTCATCCTCTACATTTGTCATGTCGTTGATCATTTCCAAAACTACAAAACGTGGCAGCACAGATAACACCAGACGTTCCTGGGTAGGGAGGGAAGAAAAGAGATGCTATAATGTGCAGACTGCAGGAATGTTTGCTGTTTTCTCATTTCTAAAGCCTCTAAAGTATCAAAACAGCAGAAATTACTTTTGAACTTTGTAATAATACAACAGATTGAGAATCAGCTTGAGGATAAAAGTGAAGTCAGAAGTTAACATATTTAATAAATATAGGGTCTTAATATCTAATTAAATAAAGGCTGTGAAGGTTTGTGGATGTTGGACTGATTTTCTTTGTCCCTGAGCACAGTTCAAATGGTACCAACCTTCTCCAGACACAATGGAAATGACAAAAAGCTAAAACATATCATTGGTTCTTTAAAGCAAGACACAGATAAACAACCTTAAAATGATCAAAGCTCAAGCTAGAAGAGGATTTAGTGGATGGCTTTTATCAGACTGACTGACTCAGTTCAATGGCCAAGTCCACATAACTCAGGAAAGATTCAAGAATAACATTTTTAGATGCTGTATAGGGTGAAATTTATCATTTTAACATGTGATTGAAGTATTATTGTAAAATATGAGGATGGTGATCACATCTTAAATATATTTTCCTCACATCTGTCTTTCTTTTCCATCAGCTCAACATTCCCGCCAATCTCTTTGATTCTTAACGTGACGTGAGTCACTGAAATATGGTATTAAGGGTAGGAAATTGCCTCTTTGATGAAGAATTTTTGTGACTATTATATTTCACATGACATGTTAAATGTAAAAGCCACTCAAACATTCATCTAAGCTGTCCATTCGGATTGCAAAATTGCTTGTTGATATTGCAATCATGATTACAGTCATAGCTTCCCTCTGTCAACGATCATGTTAATAACCATTATGAGGCAAGATTTCACACTACAGCCAAGGATTGAGGGGATCTGCTTTGGGGGCCAGCAGATTTAGTCTCTGCTTTTTGCAGATGATGTGGTTCTGCTGACGCACTCCTACCAAGACCTACAGCATGGATTTAATTTAATTCTGGGGTCCTGGTTCTCCACTGCAAAAAGGCTCAGAGGAAAGTTCCTGCTTCAAGTGGGGGAGTTCAGATATTTTGGGATTCTGTTCACGAGTGAGGAGCACTCAATAGACAAATCATTTGTCGTGAAGACAGAGTTGAACGAAAAGCTCTCGATTTACCAGTTGTTCTATATGTTCCTACTTTCCCCTTTGGTCATAGAATCTACATCATGACCACAAGAGCAAGATCCCAAATACAAGTGGCTGAAATACACTTTCTCTGCACGGTGGCAGGGCACTCCATTAGAGGTATGAAGAGTAGATCAGTCATCTAGGAAAGGCTCAGGGTGGAGCTGCTTCTCTTACGAGTAAGCCAAGGTGGCTCAGACATCTTTTCTCGTTGCTGTCTGGATGCCTCAGGTCCACAGACACGGTCCAGGACGTGCTTTAGTGATCCATGTGCCTCAGCTGGCCTCTGTACCTGTCAGGCGTCCCCCAGAGGAGCTGGAGGAGGTTTCTGCAGTGAGGGAAGTTCGGTGTCTGATCAGACTGCTGCCTTCGCAACCCAGAATATGTGAAATGAGATGTGCAAGTAAGAGTTAGAGATGAGTATATTGCGGAGCTTTGATTTACACAAGTCTTTAGGATTTTTTTCATCACCGCCTGCAAATTCCAAGGTCCATGAGTTCACACCAGAGGATGTGAGTCATTGTTAATATTAGATAATATTCGCTAAGGTCTGGATAAAAATGGAAGGTTTCTTCATCAGATTAAATTACACTGAGGGGAAATTCAGAAACACAAAAACCCGAAGTTTGCTTCTTATGCATACTGTAGGTCAGTTTAACAAGTTTAATGTTAGATGAGATAAAGATCTGGCCTAAATGACAAGAAGCATGAAGAGGAGACAGGTGGGGCTTTCCGTCTTAGAACAGTGTACTAGCAGGCAAACATGGTGGTAGCTTCACAATTTCGTTTTTTTTTTTTCTGCCAGTGGTTTTGGTTAACTGTTAAATGACAAAACAACTGGACATTGTATCAAGCTAAGGATGGAATTCCTAAAGGCTCAACCTCAACCCTGTAGAAAATAAAAGGTCTGTGTTTAAAAGCTGCTTATTTCCCAGGATTCAATCAGTTTAGAGTTTCTTAAGAGCTGCTGTGATATCTGGCCAGGGTGAAGCCAAAAGCCTGAAAGCCAGTTGTTAAAGGACATTTAATCAAATATTAATTCAAATGTATCTTATATTAGAGCCAGTGTTTATAATTTTGACTGGTTAGAGATTAGAATAGGTCATAATCAAATGATTTGGTTAAGTTGTAAAATCTTTTCAAATTTGATAAGTATTACCTAAAACAATGACACTTTTGTTCCAATTGAAAACAAAAGCAGATGATTAAAATCATTGAAACAATAGTTAAGTTTTTTAAATGTAAAAACGAAATATGGTATTTAACTAATTTACATGACAAGAAAAGCTAAAGTTTAGGGGCACAGAGGGCACATAGCATACACCAAAGAGTTTGGATCCGCAGCAGCAATTTAATTGTTCCTTTCCTCAGGCTTAAGCCTTTCCAAGAAGGATCTGTAATATTTATCTCAGCATTTATTGCATATTTTTCCCAACCAACCATAAAACTGGACTGCTGTCAAAAAGCAGCCTTTGCTTTTGTTTCAACAGGACAGAAATACAAGAAACAAGACAACATGGCCAGGATGAAGCTTGTAAAAACAAATAAATTACATTAAATCAGCAAGCCTGAGATAGCCAGGACGATCCTAAAGAAGCCTCAAGGCTTGCAGAAAAAAAAAGAAAATGATTTGCTTTAATTTCTCTAAACAACGTAATGCCAGTTTGCAAATGCAGGAACAGATTTAATGTGGGCGCATCTCTCAGAGACTCTTTCTGGCCATTGAGATCTGCAACAAATCCAGGCAACTGCTTTCCAAAAATACTGAAAAGATGTATATTCGAAGAAGGGACAAAATAATCCACATTCTTTTCTACAACAAAACCATTGGAAGATATTACTCCTCAATAAACTGGTTTTAAAGTTTTCTGCAGACACTGTCTCATTATTTGTCTCTGTCCTGTAAAAATCAGAATTTTGTAAATGTCTCATTTAAAAAAAAGAAAGTTCAGGCAGCATTAATACATGTGCTTTTATGCTGTATGTAGCAGAGAGAAAAACACAAGATGTTCTGTTAATTTATCAGACTTTGTTTTCCTAACTGAGAATTTTCCCTAACAAATAAAAATGCTAAATTATGCGCTCTCAGTGACGCTGCATTAGGCTTTCTGGAGCTCTGAAGAGCCTCTTGAGATCTCAAGCATAGGGGGACAGCGCCAGAAGGTGAAGCTGGATAATAGTTTAGAGATGGTTTGATCTGCTCGGTCACACTGAATAAAAACCAGCCCAGCGATGGTGGGACATCACATCTCTGTTCCTCTGTGGCAAAACCACTCTAGGGAGAAGGCAATCTGCATGTCACAATCTGCATCTAGGACTTATTGTTAGGAAACACTTTGACTAAATCGTTTTCTCTGCTGATAAAGTGTATTTGAAAACTTTGAACAAAATTTGAACTCAAATTACTATAGTTCTATTTTTCTTAAAAAAAAAAGGCCATGTTGTACATATTCCTGTAAAGCTGGAGATGCCAACAGGTTGTGTACAGCTGATACTTGATGATTCAAAAGTTTGGAATAAAATGCAACAAATCAACAATCTAAAAAACCTGTTATTTGTCACGATTTTAGTCCTGCCCTGTTTGTGCTCACTCTCTCTGATGATCACTGATTTTTCCCACCTGGGCTGCTCCCCATTTAACCTCCTGCTCTGGGTGAGATCATTTGCCGTTTTACACATCTTTTTTGTGAGTCAAGAATTATCCTGTTCCTTGACCCTGCCTGTCCCTGACTGCTGACCTTACCTTTGAGTGAATTGTGTTTTTTCTGATTGTTGCTGAACCTGACCTTGATTAAGCCCACTGGATTTTTGAAACTTCTCTGCCTGAGCATGACCTTGAACTGGAAAAGGATTTCAAACTGAAGGATTGTGGATATCAGTACCTCTGCTCTCTGTAAGCGCCACTCCCCAAGCCATCAAAGTTCCATTCTTAATTGGAGCTGAACCTGGTAATTCAAGTTTATTTTTAAAATTTTTTGAATCTTCAGTCAGGACTCATCTCTATTTTGGTGTTCCTGGACCACTAGGGACACCCAATTCTGACAGGATCTTTGCTTTGTTGTGTTTTCAAATAAATATTTTACTCAATGTTTGTTTTTGGCTAAGTGTTGAGTTCAGGCCTCCTCTGAAATCACAACATTATCTAAAAAAAATGACATATTTTTCTTATTTCATCTAATAGCCATATGAGCCTGTGTATGAGGTCAACAAAAGAAAAAAAAAACTCTTCCCCTTTGCTCACTACCGTGTTCCACCTCTTTGCAAATATGTGCTCAAAATGTTCTGTTGTTCTTATTATTCTTCTCCAGGTTTAATAGTAATCAGCAACCAACTTAATGGAGAATTACCACCACTTAAAAAATCAGTATGGGTCAGATAATAGGTTTACAATCTACACACAACACAACAGCAAACCCTACTGTAAGCCCTGTCTCCTTTAAAAAGGACATAAGAACACTAAACTGTGCTCTATTACAACAACCAAACATACTCTCTAAACTCAACTCAAATCACCTTGCACCCTAGACTCTGTAATCCTTTCATGAACCCACAGAAACTGAACCTGACTGCCCCACTGACTCATTTTCTAGATATAATAAGGATGGTTGTAAAATAATATCCTGATGACTATTTAACTGAAATGTTATGTTTGAAAGAACTGAAGATGAGTCAAAAAAAAACAAAAAAAAAACAGCATCTTACTTAATTCTGCACTTTTCTCACTGTAACGCCACAAAAATTGCCACCATTTCCAGAGTGTACTCACCCAACCCATCTGAAGTGTACCTATTTCATCAATTCTCTTAGCCGTTACTGACATCCCAAAACCTGTCACTCTC